TGACAATTGAATAATTTTTAAATTACATTTGCAGGACATAAGTTGCAGATTAATAAAATGTATATTAATTTAAAATATTCTATATGTTCGTCTGAATAACACTGTACTGAGATTTGTTTGTGTTTAGGCTGTATAAAGAGTCATTTGTTAAGGGAACCTGCTAAATTCTGAATAAAATAACACCATGCAACTTAATCCTTCATGAGAAGCTCACTCAGAGAGTTATGAAAATTCCAGCATTTTATGGACTTGCGGTTCATTGTGATATTCACAGCAGACGGACACTTGTCCTTATACTGAGTCAGATGAATCTAGTCCACACACATGTGAAGATCCGTTTTAATATTACCCTTCCATTTACACATATCAGTGTGATTCCAAAATGGTTTCTTCCCGTTACATTTTTAAACTAATTTCAATTAATTTCTATTAAAACCAGATAGTGATTTTATTTTGAATTTAAAATCAAAATCATAGGAAGAACTGACCATCTTGAAAGTCTTTATTGTGGCACTGGGTCACTAAATACAAACTTGGGGCTCTGGTCACCCTATTATAAGAACTCAGGTAGACTGCTTATGAGTAATGTTCTCACTTTGTTTTATAATACCTTCCACATGCCATGCAGCAAAGAGGGAACTTCAAAAAAATGTGCTCGTAACTAAAACTATTAAGTCAAAGCGTTGGTACATACCAATGCTGTCAACTAGCTTGCTCCTATCAAATTTGATTTCCTTTATTACTTCCACATCTGATGAGCTTGACATGTTTTCATCAGAATCTTCTGCACTTTCTTGTTCTTGATCCTCTGTAACTATCTTAACATCATCATCCTCTGTGTTTATCCACTTGTCTGGACCTGCAGTGATTTTACCAAGACTCCATTTTAGGGTTAGAATAACCAAAAACAATTCTTATATTATTACTAACATATATAAATAATTTACTCTGTTGTATTCTATGGTAACTAAGGCATGGTTTTTCTTTAGGAAGTAAAATAGTGACAAATATAAGTGTTAAAGAATATATTTTATTTTATTTGACCTATTCTTCAGTGCCTGTTGAGCATCTGCGGGTCCCAACTTTCGTTGGCTTTGATCTATAGACAGTTGGTATGACTCCTTCGATGACTGATCAGCCCGTCGCAAGGCCAGCACAACTCAGAAAGACGCAGACAAACATCCATGCCTTGAGTGGGATTCGAACCCACAGTCCTATTGACCAAGTGGCACAAGGCCCACACCCCAGACTGTGCAGCCACTGTGATGGCATGTTAATGAATACATTATTGAAATAATAAATGCAGGAAAATGTAACAATATTGAAGGACATATTCTAGGAATTGGAAAAGTATAAGAAAGGTAAAATATGCTTATTTAAAAGTTATTACATGCCCAAATTAGCATATGGGAATAGACCAAGGCAGAAGTTATAAATCTTTTCCTCATCTTTGATGTAACATGGCGAACAGTTCCTGTGTCATGGAAATGGTTCACCAGACACAATATTTTCAAGTTGCTTGGCACAGGAATCTAAAAATGTGTCCTTAAACTCATTCTGGTAAGTTAAGTAAACATGAGAGATTGAGATGTCGGCAATGAACACTCATTGCATTTGTGAAAAAGATACCTCCTTCTCCTACTCTGACTCCAGCTGGTATCAATTTCTCCTTCAGCTGCTTATGTTTTGGAAGGAGTTCCGCTGAACCTCTACCAAGAGGAATTACAGACACTTCATCTTCTTCACTGTCTTCAGTCATATCATGAACATCTGCAAAACAGATACTTAGAGTTAATGTGAATATGTGTGAAAGGAAATGGACTTAGTTGGATTTGAGGTTCTTATGGCAGCAAGTATGAAAATGGTTGTCTTCTGGGTCGGATGTAGAAATGAGTAATATATTGATGATTTTATAATTGATACTCAAAAGCCACATCACAGCCAGTTACCAGATATCTAAATAAATGGTTACTTTATTACATTCACATGGTGAATATTATAATTCAGTTGTGGTAACTTTTTACTTAACTGCCATGTAGCTGTTTTTAATTGGAGTCACTGTTATATTTTTCATTGACATTATTTCAGTCATGAGAACTTGAAACTTAATTGCTGTACAGGCATTTGTTATTGGAGGTGCTGTTAAATTTGGTAGCTGCAGTAGGTAGCCAAGCTGCCAGTAACTGATCATTTGCTCATGTTATTTGTAACAGTGGTACCTGCTATAACTGGCACAATGATGAAAAGGAAATGGAAGCCATTTTGTTATCCCTCATTTCTTTTCGTTCCTGATTAATTTGTATACTTGAATTTTCTGAGAACACTGACGTAACTTTTATGTTTAAACATAAATAATTTTCCTATGAACGTTTGAAACTTAACTTCTGTATGTGCTGTTTCCACATGGTTAACAATATTCAATTCGACAAATTGTGTTGATCTATTTTAGTAACCTAATTTATTTTAATTCTGACTATAGTTTATTAGACGATGGAAAATATCCCAAAAACTCTTTACTTCAACAACACACCATCGTCACAAACTTTTAGAACTGAGTTATAGTTTCTACGTTAACTGAAGTAAATTAATGTGGGAATTATTAAATAATAAATAAACTATGAAAATTAAGAATGGATATGGAACTATATAAATACATTATTTACTTGCTATTATTTACCTCATCATCCTACGTGACAGACACCATAAATGTTTTTGCCATAAATAATAAATAATTCTTATTTTCACATTCATAAGACTGTACAGGTAACCTAATGGTACTAGTGATCATGGTCACTGTTTAAAGTAACTATTACCTACATTTAACATTCACTGGAACAGTAGTTATTAAATAAATCACTCAGTATCTTGTTACTAGATGGATGCACCATTTTTCAGTTCCAGAGAACCCACATGGAACATTCAATTTCTACACCTGCCTGCTTTTTTTATTCTGTCATCCACCACTATAGCAAGGGCCACAGTTTACTTCTTATTCTAGCAATGGCTTGGCTCATGGGCAATTGTGACATGGGCATCAGCTGCCAGAGTCATGAGATTAACTGCTCCTTTAGTGTGTTCACAGATGTATTGGCGTTCAGGGACTCGAACCGCAGCTGATTACGGACAAATGATGGCATCAGTGAGAGAATGGTGTGACTCAGGTGGTGGGCAGACAAGGTAGAATGAAATTAAGGTGATGGATATATATTTGCTTATGCTTTGGTGTAAAGATCAAACAGCATGTACACAATAATAAGACTGGTTTTATTCTGGTGGTTTAAATGTGACATACTCAGGACTATATATTACTATCTGATGGGTAGATACAATATAACTGGCAGGTAGATCATTAAAGCACTAATTGCATTCAACTGAGTCACTGGGAAACTGACAGTTATTCAGCTAATCAATAAATTATCTACCTTCTGTGTAACCCAAAGATTAATTACCATGGTTACAAGAACCCACCTGTGGTCACATTAATCCAGTTGACACCCTCCCATGCTGTGTCATTAAGATCTATTTTAATATATTTCCTCAGTCTTAAGACACACTTTTTTACATTTTAAAATTTCTGAAAATAGGGTGTCTTACATTTGATGGTATCTAAGAACTGATAAAACATGCCCTGAACATCCCATCATCCCCAATTTGGCACCCATAATCCGCCATCATTCTTAATATTTTCAGATATGTATCTAACTAGCTTTGTAATATAAAAGTACCAGCAGTGTTCTGACCCATCTTGCCCCATAAGGTAGTTCTGCCATCATTGCACCTCTCATCTAACACTTATAACTCAGAATTTATAATAACAGAAGATGTCATAGAGCTCTGAACTATAGTTTCCCTGATTGGAAACTGAGGGATCGGGTGTAATGTTTTCTGATGACTGATAGAAGATGGCAGTCTTCTTGACCATAGTGTCACCATCATCATCATCCTGATGATGGACATAGCAAAGACCTCTGAAACGTTGGTAAACTTCTACCAGACTACATGACACTACAACCCAGACAACAGTGACCTTGACTTACCACTATGAAAATCTGAAATCATACTGAAAGACCTGTTACCACAAAATTTTGGGACCTTATATTAAATAGTTATAATTTTGCTTGAAAATCAGAATTTTGCATGACTGATATGTTGGTATCATTAATGTTAAGAAATTAAAAATACAAAAGGCTCTTTTAAACTGATGTTCATTATGAAATCTATTCATTGGCTCAAAATACAATGGGGTGTAGGAACTATCATCCATTCAATGCTATATGATCTATGTAGTTAAGAAAGTGTTAAATGAAAGAAAAATGAAACATTGGGATTCTACATACCACAAACATGCTACACATAAAAAGAATAGACAGAAGTCATTGTTAAATATACTTCATGCATATTACTACTGACCAGCTCATCATACAAACAGTTCACTACATTACATTACCTTGCGTGCTCTCCATCTGAACTCCTTTTTCATCATAGATGATGCGCTTGTTACTCTTTTGAACTAAATTTGAAGCCTCTTCTCTCAGCCTAGAAGTATTCAACTGCAAACTAAGTTGCTTGCGGGATAATGCCAAGACTTCACTGTCTCGAATGCACTCTGCAAAATCCACAGATTTCCCAACAGCTCTGTATATCAGAAACAGAGAAAACCATCAGTATATGATAACGCAGCTCAACACATTGAATTCACATCTGTAATATGAAAATAACATAATTACTGGAATTTTTCTTTGCTAGTTTGCTTCTTAGTTAACTCATTTATTCAATAACGAGTGAGACCAAAATTTGAATAAATTTTTGTACCACTTCTTTTTAGCTGAAAATTTATTATGTAGAAGCTGCTAGAACAGTTTTTGAGCTTCTATACTGTGTGAAGAAAGGTGTCTCTCTGGCTGGGTCACTGCACCATATAGTCTCAGCTAAAGGGCACAACAGATCAGTTCAAATCACCTCATCATCAATCATAATCACCACCAATAATAATCAAAATTATGATGATAATAAAATTACCATAATAATAATCACAACAATAATCATCATCATCACTCAAAAAATATTTGGCCAATATCCTGGGCGAACACGACATTAGGAAACTTCAGAAAACTGCCATTCTAGGAACATCATACATTATTCGAAAGACGCTCATGTAAAATATATAATGCCTCGCGCAAAATCTGATTAATGCATGTAACGTATTAAAAAACAAAATGTATTTCAGAAATAGCTGCTGCACTATGACCTCAGGGGCAAAGTTTGTCTCAGGTACATAGAAGTAAATACTCTATAAAATGGTAAATAGATAGAATAATAATAACAATAACAACAACCATAATGATTATGGTGGTGATGATTATAATAATAACAATAATAATATTCATGCAACATTTCTTTTTGTCTTCTGCTCGGTTAAAAAATATGACAGACAGAATGACTTGACATCATGGCAACCACAAAATTCAGTCCCACCAAATCATTGCCATTACAAAGACTAATTTTTTAATATATCTGGAACTTACACATCTTTTAGCCATTGACAGATATTCATTCATCAATAAATTTAAAGATACCTTAGTTATAATTGACTGGGCACTCATTAACATACCAAAACATAAAATGGAACAGCATATAATTAGTGTAACTCAGTAGTCAAGAGTCTCATTCATGAGAAAAGGGTACATCTCACGAAGATGAAATTGGTAATTTAGCCACAATCTAATATAATTATGTCATCATACATTAACACTGACATGAAGATTGCTGTCGTCTGGGTTGTTGCGCCGTGTAGTCTGGTAGATGTCCACCATCGTTTCAGAGATCACGCTGCCTCTGTTATCACCGCCCTGATGATGGAGGCAGCATGACCTCTGAAATGTTGGTGGACATCTACCAGACTACACGGTGCAACAACCCAGAAGACAGCAATCTTCAGACTCACCGCTGGGAAAACCTCAAATCTAACACACCTCGTATTAGTATCTTCTTCTAAAGCTGATTTTATCATCTGTACTACTTCAGCAGCTCTTTTAGCTGCTCTGTTGGCACACTGTACGATTATGTCATAGCTTGTCAGTGCACTTCCACCCAAATGAAGACCACATAGTTCCCTATAAGCATTCACTCCAAATACAACC